AATAAATGTTTATTCAACTGGATTTTTCTCAAAAATGAATTAAGCGAAGAATTTACATTTAAGCGGAAGTTTTTTCTAAATAATTTACAATAATTTTCATCATTAATTCCTTATTAACGAAATTTTTCCTTAAATGAATTATACCTATACAATTGAAATTTCCATTTAACTAAATTTTCAGTAAAACAATTTTCAGGTTTTCCATTGGAAATTTTTATTATTGAAATTTTTTTAACATTAATTTATCCAGCCAAGTGTTTACTAAATGAAATTTTTACTTAAACTAATTTTTCATAAAAGGAATTTTCATTTAGCCGAATGGAAATTTGGTTAAATAAAAATTTTGTTAAACGAAAATTCAGCAAAATATAAATTCCGTTAATGGAAAACTGGGTTAAATGAAAATTCGATTAAATTGAAATTAGGTTAAATATAAATTGTGTTCGGCAGAAATTTGGTGAATTATAAATATTATAATATGAAAATTTTGATAAATATAAATTCTGAGAAATGGAAATTCGATCAAATATAAATTTTCTTGAGTCAAATATAAATTCCGCAGAGTTATTATTTATTTATAAGAAAATTCCAGTTGAATATAAATTCAGCAGGAATAAAGTTTCGCTGATTAAAAATTAACAAATAATGCAGAATGAAAATTCACTTAAATATAAAATTAATGGAATGAAAATAGTTTTTGAATAAAAACTGATTAGTTAAAATTTGTATAGTAAAAATTCTACTAAATAGAAAAGTAATTTTTGTAAAAACTAAAATACGCTTTATTCAAAATTCGAACTAATAAATTTTTGCTAATTTTAATCCTCATTAAAAAAATTGTTTTTAATTGAAATTCTATATTTGAATACTTGAATGAATATTCAATTGAATAATATTCAATTAGTGAAAAGTTTCAATATTTGAAAAAACTACTTTATCACTAAAATTTTATCTTGTAAATATAAGAAGTGAAAAAAAAATAAAAAACTACTTTATGACTAAAATTTTCCCTTATAAATAAGAATCGCAAGTAAAAAAAAATAACCATCAAAAAAGCTCGAAAGCCAACGAAAGAAAATGGATTTTGACATTTAATGATAGATACCCATCTACTCCATTTCATCTGTCAATAGTAAATAATTGGCGCTAAAAGTTAAATCGCTTTTAGTTTACTACGGCATCGTCAGTTTTGCGATAGTATCGATTCCAATAAATGGGTGTGGTTATCAATTGATAGTATGCGATACGTATACATCGCGAAAAGCTCATAGCCAATTGAATGTTTATCTATTATACGCATAATAAATATCCGAGTCGTTAATATAAATATAAACCAACCAACAAAATTATTTCCCCTTTTTCAAATTAAATTCATAATATCAAAAACACTATATTTTCAATTTATTCCTCTACTAAAAAAGAAATAATAATTTTCTCCTTTTTTCCTAAAAATTTTCACCCATCTGCTAATTCACTCTCTTTCTCTTTGACATAAACTTCAAGAGAGAAGATTACAAAAGTATATTAAACGAAAGTTTGAGAATATTATTTTTATTCAAAACGCCAATAATCGCCCACAGCTTTTAAACATGTAAATCCAAGCGTGAAAAAAAGAAAATTTAAAAGAGTTCTTTACATATACTATATAATAGAGAAGGAAAGAAAAAGTTGGTTAAAAAAAGGGGGAGAGAAGAGCTTTCAAATTGAATGTAACGTATATGTATGTATATATATGTTGGATGAGCTCTGAACTAATATGTAGGTACGTATATATGAAGAGCTGTAACATGAAACAATCCTCTCTCTATATATCTATATTGTGACGCATGTAATCGAGAACAATGAGAATCTCCGTCTCGTCGGATCGTCCGAGTATCACCATTTTATATGGATCAATATCGTTATTATCAATTTATACGTTTTATACATTTTAGAAATTTTAGAAATATTATCAATATTTTAGAAATATTATAAATTTTACAAATATTATAAATTTTATAAATTTTATAAATATTACAAATATTATACATTTTATAAATATTGTAAATATTATAAATTTTATAAATATTGTAAATATTTTAAATTTTATAAATATTGTAAATATTATAAATTTCATAAATATTATAAATATTGTAAATATTATAAATTTTATAAATTTTATAAATTTTATAAATATTGTAAACTTTATAAGTTTTAAACATTTATAGTTTACTCATTTAAAAAACCCAGATAGCACGTAAGCTTTCAACAAGCTTAACGCAAGATTGCTACAATCTTCAAATGTCCTAACCCATAGGAAGCTGAAAAAGTTCTATAGAATTTCACTAGAATAATTCTAAATGAATTCTAGTGAATATTCTACTAAATTTCACTAGAATGATTCTTTAGAATTTCTACATGAATTTTACTGAATTTTAGTGATTCTTAATTAGAAAGAATTTAAATTCGTAAAATCTTAGTTTAATAATCTTATTTTAAGAATTATTCACTAAACTTTTTCTTTAAATCAATTAATTTTCGAAAAAGTTCTTCGACAATTTTCAAAATCCATTTATTTACAATATTCAATTTTACAAATTTCAATTATTCGAAAATTCTTCAATTAAATATATATTAAAAAATACAAACTTCAAATAATATAAAAAAAATTCAATTATACACTTTTTCAAAAAAAAAAAATTAATTTCAAAATTCAATTATTTCTAAAAAATTCACACAATTTTCACAACAATTCGCACTCTAAAGCGCGCGGCTAACTTCTTACTGCCTTTTTTAAATCAAATTATCAATTTTAAAAATAATAGAATTTTCAAATTTTCAAATTAAAATTTTTGTTGAAAACACTAAAAAAATTCAATTTTAGAGAAATTACAAATAATTGCAGACATTCAATTATTAAAAAAAAAAAATTCTTCTTATAAAATTTAACTATGTTCAAAATTTGAAAAAAATTCCAATTATCTTCATAAGTAACAAAATTCTACTGCAAAGTTCAATTATTTCCATAAATGTCAAAAAAATTCTTGTCAATTTCAATTATTTTCCAAAATTTGTCTAATTTCAATTATTTTCATTATCTAGTATTTTAATAAAATTTTCCAAAAAGAATTCAATTCTTTAAAAAAAAAATTTAATAAAATTGTATGCAAACACTTAATTACTTTCATAAATAATAAAAATTTCACAGGAATTCATCTTCATCTTTTATAACAAATACTTTAATAAGTTATTTAATTTAAAAAAGGTTTGAATTTGAATCTTTTGAATGTCTTAATTCCTGTGGAAAATCCTGTTCCAAAAAATAAGATTAAATTTAAAAATAGAAATTGGACAAATATTTTTCTTCCTTTTCTACAACAAAATAATAATTTTGTTAAAAAAATTGTGATTCATTAACAAAAATAATGCAAAATAAATAAATTTTCTATTTCTTAATCACAGTTGTTTAACAATTTTCTAATTTTGTTTAGAAGTAAAGAACAAAAATTTGCATAATTTCAGTTTGACAAAACATAATATTTAACAAAATTTTAGTCTCTTAATGATAAGAAGTGAAAAAAATTCTAATAATTTATTGAACAATTGAATGTTTCTTAAAAGTTAAAATACAAATTCCCGCATAATTTTATCAACATATTTTTAAATAATTGAATTCTTTTGGCGATTTTTAATAAAGTTTTTAAGAACAATTACATTTTCCAAAAAATTCTATTAAAATTGTATTCAAAATAATTGAAATTCTGCATTGAGTTTTATTATTTATGAAAATTATTAAATTCCTAAAAATAATTTTATTATTTAGAAAAATAATTAAATTCAATTGCAAAGAAATTTATAGAAATATTTGCAAATAATTGAATTTCTGTGAAATTTTTATTATTTTATGAAAATAATTAAATGTTTCCGTAGAATTTTATATTAAAATTTTTTTAAATACTAGAATTCTTTTGGAAAATTTGATTAAAATATTACACATTGAAAATCATTGAATTGAGTAAGATTTTTCAAAAGAATTGAAATTTTGCTATGAATTTTATTAAAATTTTTGAAAATAATTGAAATTTTGCCAAGAATTTTATTAAAATTTTCGAAAATAATTGAATTTCGGAGAAGAATTTTATTTTCTATAAAGATAATTGAAATTTTGACGAGAATTTAAAAAATTTTTTTTACATAATTGAATTTTTGCGAAGAATTTTATTACATTTGAAAATAATTGAATTTCTACAATCATTTGTAATTTCTCTAAAATTCTCCAAATTATATCCTACAATTTACGAACTTTTCATTCTTTTTTTAATCAAATTACTGACTTTACGGACCTTTTTTTTAAAAAAATGACTTTTACGGACTTGAATCAAATTTACGGACCTTTATGGGATTTACAAATCTAGTTCGAGCCCGGTAGTAATCATATAATAATATAATGTTAAAAATATTATTGCACGCAATTTATGTTCTTTCTAATTAAAAATCACTAAAATTTACTAAAATTCATGTAGAAATTTTATAGAATCGTTCTAGTGAATTTCTACAGAATATTCATTAGAATTAATATAAAATGATTCTATAGAATGATTCTAGTGAAATTCTATACAACTTTTTCAGCTGGGGTAAGCTATTCTTGATGTAATATTGTGGTAAGATTGCAAAACTTGTCCGGCAAGCTTGCTGCAAGAATACCTTCTATCTGGGAGTCATTTAGTTTTATCATTAATAATAATAAACATAAAATTTAGAGAAAAAAAAATAAAAACAGTATAGTACGTATAATTTGCTGAAAGATAAGAACAAATAATAATAGGTGCCAACCAATATGAATAAAGAGGCACTTTTTTTTGTTAATAATATTATAAAAATACACAAGTGAGAAAGAAAAGGATGGCGCAATGTTTCTCGCGTTTTCTTTTCTTTTAAATATACAATATAAATTTATATGTAATATATAAAACAGGGAGACTTAAGAAAGCGATAGAATTGCATGCTAAAAATTACATTACCTAACGTGAGTTTTTCTCCTGAATCAGGTGGTAGAGTGAAGCCAAGCAGCGCCATACTCGAAATAAGAACGCAGGGCACGATGAGATTAAAGAAATAGTAGAGGGTACGTCTTCGAATTTTAATTGTGAATGTGATGTCAACATAGGGTTCTGGACAGCATTGATAATTGATGGTGTTCTTCTTTCCTGGCATTCCTGCAAAAGGTAAAATCAATTTATATTAATAAATTTCTCCATTCTCGCATCGTTTGCTTGCCTGGTTCATCGATTTTATTTATTTTTTTTTTAAATATATATATTCCACAAAAATATGTGTGTTATATGGGAATATATAAATTTTATGTATAATGTATGGGATATTAGTGGTTTTGTATTAGTACCTATAAGTTATAAATAATATATATGAAATATAATAATGTATAATGCATACAGTATGATATATGAAATATGTCGTATATTTTAATATGGTTGTATATTAAAATATTAAAATATTTAAATATATGGTATTTTAAAATCGGTTAAACAAATTTTTTTATATTCTTTATAGAAAAATATTAAATACGTATTTTTTTATTTTTCCAAATTTGACAAAATTTTCGAGTTATGAATTTTCGAAATTTTGGATTTTTAAAAGCAGACCTATTTTTAATAACATAAGTTTGAGAATATTGAGTTTAGAAAAAAAAATTAGAAAAATGTTTAGAAAGTTTAGAAAAAAGAAAGAAAATTTTTGTGTTTTTTCATCTTTTAAGTAATACAGTCGAACCTGGATAAGAGAGAACTGGATAAGCGAGAAACCTCTATAAGCGAGAGAAAATTGCTAGTCCCTTGAACTCTCGCTTATCTAGGTTCGACTGTATAAAAAAAATTATTTTAAAAAAATTTTTAATAAAAAAAAAACTATTTTTTTTATAAACAAACTAATTTTTTTTAAATTTGTCCGTGATTAATTTTTATTTATTTTTTATTTATTTACACCTGATACTATACAGAAAATTTTTCTAAAAGACCCAATTTTGAAAAAATTTTTAAACTCCTTAAAATCAATCTGCCCATCTCGGGTCATTTAGGAAAATTTTCTGTATATTATCCCGTATAAATAAATAAAAATTAATAACGCCCAAATTAAAAAAAAATTAATTTGTTTATAGAAAAATATTTTTTTTATTAAAAATTTAAAAAAAATGATTTTTATTACATTACTTAAAAGTTGACGAAAAACTAAAATTTTCTTTCTCTGACAACTTTTTTCTAAAATCAATACTTTCAAACTTATGAGCTATTGAAAATAGGTCTACTTTTAATCATCCAAAATTTCGAAAATTCGTATCTCGAAAATTTCGGCAAATATGGAAAAATAAAAAAATACGTATTTAATATTTTTCAATAAAGAAAATGAGAAAAAAATATGTTTAACCGATTTTAAAATGCCATAGAAAAATTTCACTTGGAATTCATATATTTATCTTCAGAAATCTTTAAACTAGTCAAAAAAATTAATTCAGATTTTGGTTATAATTTTTTCGAAAATATGATAAATGAAATTAAATTTCACAAACAATTTTAAAATTACTAAATTCTTGCAAAATTTTTATCAAAAAATTTGAAAAAAATTGAAGTCTTTTGAAGAATTTTATCAAATTTTTTTTTTTTAAATAATTGAATTCTTTCGAGAAAATTTAATTAAAATTGTATTGACAATAATATTGAATTATCGCAAAAAAAATATTATTATTTACAAAAAATAACAAATTTTTCCTAAGAATATTATTAAAATTATTGAAAATAATCTAATTCTTAACAAGAATTTTATTAAAAATTTTTTTAAATAATTGAATCTTTTTGTGGAAATTTAATAAAATTGTTTTGAAAATAATTTAATTCCTGCGATGAATTTGACTGTTTATAAAAGTAATTGAATTCTTCCAAAGAATGTTTTATTAAAATTTTTGAAAATAAATTCTTATCCTTAAAAATTATTTTAAAATTTAAATAATTTAATTCTTGCGATAAAATGTTATTAACCATTTTTGAAAATAATAAACAAGAATAGTTAATTATGAAGATAATAGGTGAATTTCTTAAATTTTGAATTTGAAATTATTTAAGAATTAATGTTTATATTTGAAAATATAGAATTTTCAAATTTACAAAATAAAGAGAACAAAAAAATATGCAATATACAATATACAATGTACAATACAATATACAGTATACAATACACAATAAACCGTAAACCTTATGTAGTATGTAATTTATAACGTATTGTGTAGAATATATTTCGTATGGTATATAATATTTAATATATAATAGATAATATATATTATATAAATATAATATAATATATATTATTATGCATATTATAATATAAATTATAAATAATATGATACATACGTGTGAGGTACAACCGCACATTTTTCGGAACATTTAACCTAACAACATATAATATATAATATACAATATTATATAATATACGTGTTTAATACATATAAACACATATTTTGCGGAATATTTGATCGCTCGATGAACGTGTGGCTCTCTGCAAAACTCGAAGAAACATTTGCGAAACGACAATTGCGGTCGAGATACTCAATAGATTTTCCCTTCAGTGCATCAGTGAACGATGGTTGATTCAATGCTTTTACGTCTCAAGCTTCGGGAAACACGCTTTCGATCGTTTCTTTCAAACAAGAAACTATCTCATCGCTTTGAAATGATGTTTATTTAGAGAAGCAGATTACTCGTCTTTATGTTTTAATTTTATTCTCTAGATTTGTGAATTACATATTTTAACACTCAATTTTGTAAAAAAAAATTTACATTTCTCTTTTCAAATCAATTTTTTATTTTTGAAATGTTTTTTTTATAATTCTAATTTTGTAAAAAATTGATATTTCTCTTTTGATATCATTTAATTATTTTTTGAGTGTTTTTTTATAATTCTAATTTTGTAAATAAATTAACAATTTCCTTTTGAAATTTGTTCTGTTTGAAATATGTTCTTTTATGAAATAAATTTTTCTTTTTGAAATATGTTCTTTTATGAAATAAATTTTTTCTTTTTGAAATAAATTTAAAACAAGGAGGAAATAACGTATTTTCTAAAAAGATACTGTACCAGCTATTAATGAGACGAAACAATTTTTCTAAAAATTCGTTCCTAGTTACTTTTATTATTAGCAAAATTTTTTAATAATAATTTAACTAATTAGTATTCAGATCAAAAACTAAAAAAAAATTAATTATTATTTTTTGGGTTTTTAAATAAAAAAAAAGTAGATGCATTTTTTTCTCTCTTTTTTTTGTTTGTTACAGAGTTTAGTTTCATTTTAATTTTCCATCGGTACAGGAGTGGAATTTGTATTGATAGGCATTGTTTGGAAAATTTTTCATGAATCTTTACGTGATAACAGAGATATGAATTTTTTGAGCTCCAAAAAAGCTTTTGTACACTATAAATACAACCCAATGTTCATATAGATATTAAGATAATGATGAATTTTATTTGTTTTCTCAAAAGAGTGATAAAATATTTTCCTTTTATGCAAATCTTTTTTTTTTCCTTTTGTGTAACGATCATCTCTATTGTAGTTTCTAAAATACATATAAAACAATATATTCATAGAACAATAATTATTCTTTATTCATATTTAACATAAAATTGAAAATCAATATTATTTCATATTATTTTATACTAAATAACAAAAAAAAACAAACAAACAAAAATAAAAATAATGTAGTGAATGATTATTATGTAGAAATGTTTTTGTTTTTAATAATAAAAAGATTGAAATAAATTTTTGTCAATAAGAATAAACAGACAGATAAATAATAAGAATATCAAACAAAAAATAAATTAATTAAAAAAATAAAATAATAAATAATAATAATAATAATAATAATAATAATAATAATAATAATAATAATAATAATAATAATAATAATAAAATAAAAAATAAAAAAAATAATCAATAAAATGAATAAAAAATAAAATAATAACAAAATAAATAAAAAGGATTAAAAATAAAAATAAGAAAAGAATAAACAAAAGAGTATTTTTGATTCTCTAATTTTTATAAAGAAGATTTTCTGAATGAAGAATCGAACTGCAAAGAAAATAGTGATAAACATCTTTAGCTGTCAATTGCGGGAAACTATCTTGTGTTTAATTTAAGAAAAAAGTACAAATAAATAGCAATAGCAGTAAAAATTAAATAAAACCGAAATTCAAGTTACTGTCGAAAGTCGTAAAATTCTTGGCTCCTCGGACTTGATAAAAAGCTGAAAAGCTATTGGAAATCGACTCTAGTCACGTTCGACTTACAGAACCCTGTCAGCTTTGTTTTCCTGTAAATGTCTAAGAATAGGTAAAAGTTAAAACAAAATTTTCAAGTAGAACGTGACGGAAATTTTTCCCATCTCTCCATTTTCATTTCGAAAATTATAACTCTTATTTTCTGTTCTTGAAAGTGAATCTAAAATTATTTTTCTCCACACTAAAAAATTCTTTTTCCACAAGAAAAGCTATAAATTTTCCAAATTTTCAATAAAAAGAATATTTCAAACTTACAAGAATACTACTTTCAAAATACAAAATAATTTTTTTTTGAGTAAATAAAAAATTATTATTAAAATAAATATTGCAGTAAAATGAAAAATTAGGAAAAAGTAAATTTTACCCTCCGGACTGAAAAGAAAAACTTTGAATAAAATTAACAAAGAATTTTTGTGACAATATTGAAAGAATATTTAAATGGCATTTTGATTTCTAAACACGCGCAATCTTGGGCCAATAATGGCGGGGGGGGGGAGTTTGTTTAAATATTTAGCCAATCGGTCGGCCTTGGCAAATTTCCCACTGGAACCACAAACCGCAAACTGTCACATTTTCTTGTGCAAACATATAATCCAGCTCTAACTAGTGGAGAAATCCTAATAAACTTTCCTACAGTTTCGTTAAGTAAAATATTTAGTTTTGATTGCAAACTTCATTTCGCATTCGCCTTCCACCTTTGAACTTCTTCCTCTTCCGAGGAAATTTGTTGTAATCTCTGAGGGCAAAGGTTTCATTAAACATTTCTCTTTAAGTTCCGTATCTCTCGCTCTCTTTGTCCGTTTATTTCACCCTTTCATATCATTATTATTAAAGAAAATAAAAAAAAACGAAAATTCACTTTCTTTGAATATAAATTAATTTTCTACATTATACAAAACAATTTTTGTACTTGAATTTAATGAACTTTGTTCGTCTCATTAATATTAATTACGTTTTTTTCCTTATGGGTAGTTTTTCTATTTTCATGATTAGTAAATTAAATTATTTTATTACTATGTATTACTACATTAAATACAAAATTTATTTGATTCAAATAATTACTTATCTATTATCAAATAAATATTCACAAATAAATTTTTGTTCAGTCGAAAATATAATTTTAATAAAATTATAAATAAATAGAATTAAATATATTTTGATATAATTTGAATATTTATAAAATTATATTTTGAATTCGACACTTATTTTCTTGTTTCGAAACGAAACTTTCTGTCGAAAGCGTGTTTACCAGTGAAAAAGCTTTTAAATTGCAATTTTTTTTCCCAAAAGACAGGAAAGCTCCAAGATTATAAATATATTTTTTTTTCTATTGGTTTTACGGGAATAGATGAGATTCTTGCTTGAAAAGAAGTGGGAAATATTTCAGGTACTTACGCTTTAGTGAATAAATAGCTTGATACTGTTTGTCTGACTGAACGCAGTTTTTTCTACTGAGGATTTAACGTTTCAAGTAGAGTTAACCAGCTTTTAGTCAGATAAGATAATTCCAACTGACCTCGAACTTTTTTTTAATCCCTTAAATTGTTCCTTTTTTCGTCACTGTAAATAAAGAGTTGACCAATTCTTGAATGATGAGAAAAAAATTTCAAATTTAAAAAATTCAAAAAAGAAGAAGTATTTATTTTAATTATACAATTTCAGGGTAACTCAATATTTTCCCAGATTTTTTTTTCATCTTCTTTGATCTTTCTATTTTTTTTCTCTTATTTTTTATTTACTTTTTTATTTTTCTAATATCGAATTTTTATCGTTTGAGATAAAGTATTGCTCTTAATTAAAGTTACTTTCACATGGTCGATTTTCGACATCTATTTTCTGGAAAGAGGTTGTATAACGATTCTTTCAATTGTCCTTTTATTGCTTCTTTTTTTGTTTTCCTCAATAAAGAGAGGAAGAAAATTTAAAATTTTGTAAATTTTTTTTTGTTTTTTAATACAATAAAAATGTACTGTTATAAAACAAAATTAATTTACACTGTAAATATTTTTTTTTCATCTAATAAATTAATTTACTTTGCAAATAATTATTTTTCTTCTAAAATAAATTAATTCACGTTGTAAATAATTATTTTTCGCCTAATAAATTAATTTACGTTGCAGAGGATTATTTTTCGTCAAAATTAAATTCATTAACGTTACAAATAATTATTTTTTTGTCAAGTGAATTGCATTCGAAACAAATAGATTTTTATTGACTCAAATAATAGTCATAATTAAATTTTCCTTTCCAATATTTAATATTTTAGAAAAATTATTTATTTCTTAAAATGATTTCTTAAATTTCTTGAAATATTTAATTTAATAAAATTTTTAATATTTTAAACGTTGAAAAAGTAAATTTAATTAAATGACTATTTGTCAATAAAAGGTTATTATTGTTTCAAATATAATTTATTATAACTTGTAAAATATATTTTTATTAAATGAAACAATAAAATGAATGAATAATTAAAATAAATAATAAATAATTTTGATTGCTACTAAAACAAATTTTCTTCCGATTTTCCCAAAAAAAAAGAAGAAACAAGTATCAAATTATTCATCAACAATAATTTTTTCACAAAGAAAAAAATTGAATTTCCACGTAAACAATATAAAAAGGAAATCTTGGAACTTTCGTCTGACATAAAAGCATCATTTTTTTTGCGATCGAAGGATTGTTTTCAATTTCGATGTCACGTATAAACGAAGGCCACCAATTCAATATTGTGACACTTTTCCGTTTCGGACCTCCCAATTTATTTGAGGCTCAACATTTTCACACATTTCCCACTGTCGACAGTGTGTAAAAAATACACACAAAAATAAGAGACATCGTTGAGAAAAAATTTTCAATATTACAATATTGAAAAAATATAATTATTATAAAAAATTATTATTACTATAAAATTTATTATAGTAATTTTATATTACTATAAAAAATACTATAAAAAATTGGTACTATAAATAATTATTATTATAAAAAATAATTTTCTATAATACTAATATTATAGAAAATTATTATTATAAAAAATAATTTTCTATAATACTAATATTATAGAAAATTATTATTATAAAGAATTAGTATTATAGAAAATTATTATTATAAAGAATAATTATTATAGAAAATTATTATTATAAAGAATAATTATTATAAAAAAGATACTATTATAAAAAAAATATTATTATATAAACAAAACACATGTTAACTTTTTTGAGAGACCTGATTGGTCCCCAATGAATTGGACATGAGTCAAACTCACCGATGAGATACCATTCCCCGTTCGTGATGAAATCGGACAAGTCACCTCCTTCCTCCGAGTTGAGAACCAGATCGAGCTACCAAGGTCAAAGTTTGATTAAGACAAGCGTATCCTACGCATTCCAAGATTCATGATCAATACATGCGCATTCATTCTCTTATCAATCTATTAATAATACTTCATCTAGAATATATACACATTTATTTATACACACGGCGCACTTACATTAAGTAGCGAAACTAATATAAAAAAAAGTGAGGAAAAAGGGAACGAGGGAGAGGGGAAAAATCTCCAGAACATGCGAATGGGAAATGGATATCGATAATCGAGAACTAATAAATTGAAAGAGAAATTACTATAATATCCCCCACCATCTCTTTTTTTTTGAATCCGTTAAAGGAAAGTCGACCATTAAATTGGATCGTAAATTACACGACTTTATTAGTTCATTCGGCGAAAATTATATTAAACCATCGCCATGCATGTTATTACATTTACACGATATTGCCATTTTCTTTTAATAGAGAAATTATTATATCGAAAATTGTTAATCTGAACTTTCCCTCTTTTTTTTTAATGCCACATTCTTGATCGGTAAATTTAAATATTCTTTGCATTTAAAAAAAAATTAAATACTGATTTGTTGCCTTGTTTTTTGTATTTAAAAAAAAAACTCTTTCGTAACTGATCGATTTTTGAAATGATGTTTGATTGAAGAATTTTTATTTTTAATTAAAAATTACATTTTTAAATTTTGCATTTGACAAGAGAGGTCGGATTTCTTTTTTTGTTCCGGATTTCTTAGATAAAAAAATTTAGCAATTTATTATCTGTTAGTTTTGATTCATAATTATTAAAGAATAACTGCAAATGCTGGTTTTAAAAAAGGTTTAGACGTAAAAAAAATACAAAAATTTTATGTTAAATATAATATCTGACTAAATTAAATTTTACTACTGTTGATAAAAATTGTATAAATTGTAAAAACAATAAAATTTCAAAACCAAATAGTAATATTAGTATTTTTAATGTATTGACTGACTAAAAATCGAGATTTATTACTAATGCCGAAATTCTATCAGGTTGGAAAAACTTTGTCTGACTGAAATTTTTCTTTACCACTGAAAGTGGAATTTTAAAGAATCGATACTATTTTGTCTGACTGAAATCGATTTTTACTACTGAAACTATATTTTTGGATAAATAAAATAAATTTTGTCTGACTAAAATTATTTTTTACTACTTAAACAGTTATTATTGAAATTAAAATTTGTTCCTTCTGACTAAAACTGGTTTTTACTACTATAACCAGGGAAATTAAAAATTTAATTTGCTTTGCATGACTAAAACTGTTTTTTTCACTTGGAACCGAAAATATTAACAATCGAATTTGTCTTGTCTACCTAAAACTGTTTTTTACTACTGAAATTATTCTTATAAAATAATTTACTATGTCTGACTGAAATTAGTTTTTACTACTTAAACTATAGATATTAGAATTAGTCTCTGCCGTGTCTGACTAAAATGGACTCTTACTACTGAAACAGTGGTTAGCACAAATAGAATTTATTTTGTTTGACTGAAATTAATTTTTACTACTTAAACAAATTCACATCATAAATATAAACATTTGGCCTGACTAAAATTAATTTTTACTACTAAAACCGAAAACATTTAATCGAATTTTTTATGTCTACCTGAATGTGATTCTGACTACTGAAATTAATCTTGATGAAAAAAGAATTTATTATAACTGACTGAAATTCATTTTTACTACTGAAACACTGATTGAAAACAAATTTAATCTGTCTGACTGAAAATTGTTTTTACTACTGAAACCACAATTATTGAAAAACAAATTTTATCTGTCTGATTGAAACTGAATTTTTCTACTGAAACCAAAGATATATAAAAACGAATATACTTTGGCTGACCTAAACTAATTTTTACCACTGAAAGCGCATCTTCAAAAAAATGTATTGTCTGACTTAAATTACTTTTTACTACTGAAATCAGTTTTTATTGATCAAAATTGCCATTTGCTGCGGAAACCTGAATTCATATCAAATTTTATGTGTCTGACTAAATTCGATTTGTTCTACTGAAACTTATTAGTGCAAATCGAAATAATTTTGTCTGAAGTAATTTTATTTTCACCACTGAAAATTAAAACTAGCTTTTAAAAACTACTGTCTGACTTTAAACTGTTTTTTTACTACTTATTAAAAAATCATTAAAGGTTTGTCTGACTAAAATTGATCTTTACCACTGAAAGTTAAGTTACAGAAATCGCAGCTGACTATCGTCTGACTAAACCTGGTTGTACTACTGATAAAATATTAAAATCACTTTGAAAAGAACACTTGTCTGACTAAACGCATTAAAGTTTGTTACCATTGTAAACAACATGTTAAGCCTGACTGAAAATTACCTTTACTACTTAAAAACAAATACTAAATTTTATTTTCTAGAAAAGAAAATTTAGTATTTTCTTTTGACAAAATTCTATACTCTCACTAGTAATAGAATAAAAGGAAACAAATTATAAATATTTATTTCAAGAAACTAAAAGACCACTTTCTCCTTATTATAAAAACATTTAATACAGTACTTCTCTATTAAGAAAAGATTTTTTATTTCTTTGTCTTCCTGCCGAGAATTTGTGATCTGGAAAAAATTGTTGTCAGGAAAAGTATGTCGTACGATAAGTGAAAAAGATTTTAATGAAGAGAGAACGGTCACGGTCGCTATATATGGGGCAAAATTTCTCAATTGTCCTAACTTAAAATCGAAAGTCTTCAAATCGGGCTGATTTTTGCACAAACTTTAGTACTATGGGAGAGTACTTTACCCACAAAATATTAAGATATTTTATTAAAAATTGTAGGGGGGGGAGGGGGTTAAAGTTTTTGGTAACGTGTGAACAGTGGATTTTTTTAGCTAATGTAGCTAAAATACAGTAGAGTGGACAAAATTTTGCCCTATATGTTTTCGAAAGGTTTTTTCCTCCTCTTTCGAATGGTGCAAAAAAAAAATTTTTTAATTAACAATTTAAGTTAATTTTTTCAAAATTAAAAATATTTTTGACTTTTTTTTGAAAATCGACATTTTTTTTTTCTCTTTTTTTTGCTTTAAAATAAAGCTTAATATGTGTACTTTCCATAACTGGTTCTGAAAAAATGACGTTTTTTTTTGTTTTCGAATTATTAATTAATTAGTTAATAAAAATCAGTAAAAAATTTATAAAAAATGAAATATTTTTCAAGCAAATAAACTTTTTTCAATTATGAGCTTATCATCGTAAAGCTTATCAAATTCCGCATCCAACGAGTATAAATACATCTATTTTTATAAATAATTGTTAAATAAATAAATAATTGAAAATTTATTTATTAATTTATTGAAAAAATGACATTTTTTTCTTCTTTTTTGCTTTGAAATAAAGCTCAATATGTGTACATTCAATACCGGTTTAGGAAAAAATGCAGCTTGATTGGTTTTCAAATAATTAATTATTTAATTAATTAATTAACTAATTAATAGTAGTAAGAAATTACTAAAAAATTAAATAGTTTTCAAGAAAATAAACTTTTCTTAATTACGAGCTTATCATCGTAAAGCTTACTAAATTCTGCATCCAACAAGCATAACCTCAACTGCTGTTCATAAATAATTATTAAGTAAATAAATAATTGATTATTATTTATTTATTAATTCTTTGAAAAAGGGAAATTTTTTCATTCTTCTATAAAATAAGGCTTAATATATTTATTTTCAATACCCGATTAGGAAAAATTACCATATTCTTTTGTTTTCGTATTATTTATTAATTAATTAATAAAAATTAGTAAAAAAAATTAATATTTTTCAAAAAAATAAACTTTACTTAATTTTGGGCTTTCCAACGTAAAGCTAAACAACTACTCTCTGCATTTTACAGGGTTGAGACTGTCATTCTAATTATTCAATGCCTGCATTATAGTTGTGTAATGTGTGTGTATTACGTGATGTTTTAAACTATTTTAAAAATAGGTTCTGTGTATTTTTGTAATGTGTGTGTGTGTGTGTTGTGAGGTTTAATGTAATGGAATTTTTCTTTTCTATTATCGATTATTACAATTCTTATATTGTCAATTGTAACTGTATAATAAATGCTTGACTTTATTTCTTACCTTTAGCATAATTCGTTTTCTTTGTTTTTTTTGTAATTTTCTGTGGTGGCCCTTTTGCAGTTCGTTTGATTTGTGTCTTTTTGGCAGTTTTAGGGAAGAAAGCACTTTCTCTGTCAGCCGAAAATTTTTTCAATTCAATTTGTTGGTTATTGTGTGGTTTAAAGCAATGATATTGAGAAGTACCAGGTATTGTAATCGCACTGTCGAATCGCGTTTTTAGCATTTCTGTCGTTGAAGCATGAGTTTCTTTACTTTTAAAAAAAATTTCTGTTTCTTTACATTTTTTTTTAGCCCACTGAAATAGTGTTTCGGCATTAAGGATATGTCCTTTTGAAGATGCTTGAAGGCTGGCTCGAGCAGCTCCTCTTTTTATAATAGCTCCTATGCCATCGCAAGCACCTTTACCATGACTTGTAGCATGAAAATGCCATTCGGCAGGAAAACCGAAGTCTTTTTCATGAGCCTGAAGGTTAGCAAAAGAGTTTTTATTTTTGAAGTGTTGTTTCGCTCCATCCGAAAAATAGTACACTTTCTTAACGTCGAAATTTTCTTTCAAATAATTTATAATGATCGTTTGATATTCGTAAACGCTTACAGTGTCATGTGATAAATTATTTGAAATTATGGCCATGCTCTTGTGCATACATTTGTCTTCTAATTTATAATAAATAACGACTGTGAAAATTGTAGCATGGTCGTTATTCCAATGGAAAGCTTGAGCCGCGTTTTGGACAACAAAAGCGTAGTTTTCTGCAAAATCGAACGAAACAATAATTTCACCAGGTTCTATTTTTTCTTTAAGAGTTTTGAAGAAGCTTGACTGTTCTTTGGAAATGAAATCGTGTGTTTTTAATTTATTTAAACGATCACATAGATCTTCTACAAATTCATCCACGCTCATTAC